GATAAAATAGAATAAAATTAAATAGAAATAAAAATAAAACAAGAATAAAAAATAAAATGAAAATAAATAAAAAATAAATAAAATAAAAAATAAATAAAATGAAAATTATTGTAGTGGTTACATATACTTAACGTTATATTGTATTTAGCAATGATCATTTTTCACTAATTCCATTGAAGCAAATGATAATGGAAGCCAACTTATTACCCTGTTTGGTGTTACAGGTATGAACATACTAGGTAATACATTCTTTCCTCTCTAGCAGTTACACAAATCTATGTGGACATCCTCCAAGAACACAAAACTACATGGCCAGCGGCCGAGATAAACTTTTTTCAAAAGTCTTGTTCTACTGGTATCCCAGGTCTGTAGTCACCTTGTTTGGGCAAATTTCAAACTATAGATCTAGACCTGATTTCATTAGTCAATACATTGGAAACTTTCCAAAATTGAAAATGCAACAAACTAAAAAAGGTTGTAGATGAAATACTTTCAAAATGACACTGTCATGACACATCAATCTAAGAAGAATTTGCACATGTGACAGCTATGGATGGGTATCATTGATAGAGCACGTCGGCAGAACGCCTGCGCAGAACCCTGTATTTTCACGGCTTTCGATGGATTTTTGGTCAACGTTGCATTAGAATTTTGCCTGTTGCAGAGGATATCTTTTCTGACATAACATTTGGAAACTGCAGACGAGATGTTTTCCTTATATGCGCGAATTCAACCTTCTTTGAGACGTTTTGCCGAAGTGCTATGTACAATACATTACGGGTTTCGTGCAGGTGCAGTGCGTTCTGCCGACGTGCTCATTGATAGGCACATCATACAGTGTGCATGATGTTAGATCTAAAAGTTTGAGGATATTTAAGATCAGATTATGTAGATCTAAATCCTAGAGGATTAAACTTGACTGAATGTGACCTCAAATAACACTTGTTTCTCATGGGTCAAAAACCTTTTGCAAACAATGACAGTGACAGATGATCTTGTTATGGTGGACAAGCATATGAGTTAAATGTTACCAAAGGTCAACGTTAGACCTAATCATGCATGAATACAGTCTCCGTTGCCATTTTCTTATTTGCAATAGCTTTTCTTTCCCAGGCTCAAGAAACATTTGCTTCCCACAGTAAAGTAGAATTGATAACCTTTTTTTTTTTTAAAGTTTTATGGGGTTGATGATCTGGTCATGGTAGACAAGCGTGTGAGCGGAAAGGCCAAAAGTCAATTGATACTGTTGAACCTGACAGGGAATACAATCTTGGCTATTTGCCAGTACCAAACAAGCTCCCCTTACTTCACCTGAGGTGACTTTTGAGAACCACAGAAGGGTCAACAACCTTTCTGACAACAATGATAGGGATAAATGGTCTTGTGCATGTTATGACAGACAGATATACAAGTTGACAGACAGACAGTAATTCACTGTCAAATAGTAGTCCTAGTATCAAACGTGATGTGAACACAATGTTGGCCATTTGCTCATTGACCCAGGCTCTCCTTTTTTGACCTCAAGTAACATTTGTTCACCTCAGTTAGCAGGAACCATTGCTTTCATGGAACTTTGACAGGGATAGATTACCTTGGCAACATAGACAGCTACTCAGGTTGAAATGTATAAATAGCTGGTGATAACAGTTCTAAAGCTTGCAGGAAATACAATCTTGACTGTTTACCCTTTTTACCTGGCGTCTACTTTCTTGACCTCGAGTATGTGCTGCTTGAGCACATACCAGGTTCAATAACCTTTTTTGGGAACAATGACCTTGGTGTTGCTGACCATGCATGACCTCCAGGCAGCGAGGACTTTTTACCAATTGTATGTTATTCCATGGTGTGTGGCTGAAGCCACTATGATTTGGGACATCTTTCAAGTTGTAGTACTATCTATTCTTATCAGACTTTTTGGGGCACAGATTTTTCTTTCTTTGTATGTACTTTTCACTAAAGCAACATTTCCATCTTACACTATAACATTCATAAAACACCCAACTATAAATTTGTGTTGTAGCCATTGATTCATACTCATCTCGGTATCTCATTTTCCCAGGGCATTTTTATTTGACATATCTTCAATATATTGAACACAGATAAACCTGCACGTTTACAAACACCTGGAAAGAAACTAATACTTCCTAATGTTTCCTCCCCTAGAACTACTCAACTCCACAGTGATGAATAATGTTAAGGAATACAAAAGTCTTACTTTAAAGATAGATAGAAAGAAACATTTTAAGTTTAAAAAGGTTTTTAAAACCATCTGACTTCTATAAGAAGCATAGTGCATTATATTACTATGATGAAACTTAAGAAAACAAGAACAAAGGAACATGCGTTGCATGTTTAGTATGACTATACTACAATAATGTAATATTAATGTTTGAAAGCTTTTTGATAGTTCTAGCAGATAGTATCATATGAAGTAGCAACAAACCAAACTTCTCTGCACCCCTCAATATATATCTAAAGAGCCCTCTAATTTGTACATATTTCTTTTTACCATGCAAAAATTATCATTTTCAGCAATCAGACACATTGCTTGGCCAGTCACACACACGGTTGGCGTTGTTGAAGATCAGTCCAGCCGGACAGTTCATGGTGGTTGGAGAACTGTGACCAGGGATGCAGACGTAGTACTCTGTGCCACACTGACCAGTAGGGCGGTATGAGTTGGACGTCCTTCCGTCACATGTAAAAGTGCTAACAGCTGTGGAGTAGTGACAATACGTGATGTTAATTCAACATTCCAACATTGCAAGTACAGCATGAAGTCAGACTACAGGAAATCTTGGAACAAATACAGTAGGTAAAACATAACTGCTACTCTGATGAGTGGAGAAGTTTCCTGAATAGGAACTGGTCGTTAATTGGAAAAAGGCATTGTCTATCATAGGTCAAGTTGTGCTGTAAACAGAACAGCAGAACTTGGCATGTACACACCTTGTTGGCAGGTGTCTCCAGTGAATGCAGAGGTACAGGTGCAGGTGTTGGGGGCTGTACAGGTGCCGCCATTCTGACATGGGACGTCACAGTGAGGCTCACATCCAGGCACCTCCCAACTCCACTCACACCTGGGGAAGACAAAAGTCAGTGTCACAATTCTGTACATTCGATTACATCGTATATTTCTGGTCAATAGGTCTTGACACCACGTCTTCCTACCTAATCAGATGGTACAAAATGTGAAGAGCAGACTTGGATTTCATGACATTATAGAACAAAGATACAACAGACAAATCTGCAAAACACACAAAAATTCTTAAAATTCAAATGACGCTCTGTTCTTTATGGGAACTTTCTGCCCATCAAAGGTGCCAATACTGGTACGTTTCTGGTGTCTGGACAGCAAAGCAGTAAGCAACGCCCCCTACCTGTCAGTGACAGTACTGTAGGCTGTGTTGCCTGGGGCACAGTCTCTCAGGTACAGAGGGTGGCCAGTTACACACTCATAGTACTTCCCACAGTCAGCCGGGTAGCGGCCAGCAGATCTGCCTTGACAGGTGACTGGAGAGAACAGAGGAACAACATGGTCAAGAATTTTATTGTCCTGTATAATTAAAAAGCCCCTGAGCACGGTGTTGCTCAGTACCCAATCAAGATCAAGAAAGGAGGAATTTTCTCGTCTAATACCGCAATACTTGCTGATCTATCATCACCAAATGTAATTTTTCTTTAGTTACTTCAGTCACGATGAACCATAGTTTTTTTCCAAAAGTTTGCATATCAAATTGTGGCAGTTCAACTGAAATATGGAAGTTCACGGTGCACTTCAGACTTACATTCCTGACAGGTGTTTCCCTCCCAGCCGTCAGCACAGTGGCACCTGTAACCTCCAACCTCCTGCTCACATGTACCGCCATTCTGGCAGGGCGTGTCCACACAGTCACTCGTCACATCCACTGCATCTGTTATAGAGAAGATGAAGCAATCAGAACAAAGGCTAAAAAGCTATTGAAGTTGGTAACTGATTAACTTGTATATCACAGGAAGTATCTTATGAGCAATGAACTTGTACTGTTACACCACTTTTCAGTTCAAAATTGCACACTTTGGAAAAAAGCAGAACAAAAATGCTGTGCAGATTGGTGATTTTGGCAGCATCTTTCCTTGGTGCTGAAAAGCCTGTCTAAGACATGTCCCCATACCACAAAGCTGTTAAGTACATGATATATAAATGAGTCTGTACTACTTACTGCATTGATACTCTGCCATGCTGGCCTGTCCGAAGACTTCGATGTTAGTTGTATCCCAGTCAATCAGGTTGCCATGGTAACTACAGAACGCTGCCCAGTCCGCTCCTATTTCTGCCGGAGACAGCACGCGGTCCCAGAGGTTCACTTCCGACAGTTCTCCGATGAACGACTGGCCTGCATGGAACCCTCCCCCGACTACGTCTTGGTCCTGTCCGAGGATGAACGTGCCGCCTCTGCGCACCCTCCCTCCCACGTTAAACCTGGAGCCTGAAGCCGTCAGCACGCCGTCAGCGTAGAGCTGCCAGGCTCCATCACTGCTGCGCCAGGTAGTACAGACTGTGTGCCACTCACCGTCCCATACTGCTGGGTCTGCCATTTGGGTAAAACCCTGTATGTACAGCTGAAAAAAGCAATGACATGAGTTGTTTTATTACCTGCAAGTTTACATTACAATATTCACACAATTTCATATTTCACAACAAAGAACACTGGATTCTTGTGTTTCATTTTGGATTCAAACAGGAAAGTTATGATAGTTCTACCTATAAACTATTGGAGAAAAAACAATTTTAATACTTACTCTGAATCCACCATTAACAAACAAGAGCAGCTCATTGTGATGTTGTGACACTGCGTAGCTGACCAGGCTGATCTGATCGCTGGAATCCATGTTGGAGCGCATGTGCACACAGAGGGTCAAGCTCGTTAAGTCCTCAGACAATGTGGTCCTCATCCTGGCGTAGTCATCAACACCTCTGGGACCAGGGAAGATGACCTTCTGTGAGTTGCTGTCATCACCACCATCACCTGATACATCTGAAAAAGATACATGTAACATGACTTTTTAAACCAATAAATGCAAAATGCTTTTGTGATAATGTAGCTTGGTAGTCACCAAAGGAAATACATTTTACAGCTTAGAATCTCAATTTGCAACTTTAAAACTTAAAGGTACACAGATTGCTTTCTACACACCTTGTTGGCAGGTGTCTCCAGTGAATGCAGAGGTACAGGTGCAGGTGTTGGGGGCTGTACAGGTGCCGCCATTCTGACATGGGACGTCACAGTGAGGCTCACATCCAGGCACCTCCCAACTCCACTCACACCTGGGGAAAACGAAAGTTAGTGTCACATTTTGGCAGGGATGTTTATTTCAGTATTGGCTCCACAAATCATCTTTGACAAACTTGGTATTTGTGAGAAAAGATATGAACAAGAAACCAAAACAGAGGAGTGACTTTAGATGGCTTGTGTATTATATACATTATATGGATGGTCCATCATCCATGGTGTATAGCTTCATGTAAATGGTCAAACAGTGCCCCCTACCTGTCTGTGACAGGACTGTAGGCTGTATCCCCTGGTGCACAGTCTCTCAGGTACAGAGGATGTCCAGTTACACACTCATAGTACGACCCACAGTCATCAGGGTTCCTGTAGCGCCCAGGAGCCCGGCCAGCACAGGTGACTGCAGAAAACGGAAATACAACATGTTGAAAATTACAGTTTTGAATGAGAATCTACTATATTTACTATAGAAAGAAGAAATGCATAGATTATAGAATAAACTGTGAATCCTGTTACTCAACAGCTGATTGCTGAACAAGCTCTGCCACTGGCCTTGCTCATTTTCAAAGATTGCAATTGTTTTAAATTGCACAAGAGGCAATGGATTCTTTATGACAGATATTATAGTCAACAGTAGAAAAAGTAAGACATACACAGTTGGCAGGTGTTCCCCTCCCAGCCTTCAGCACAGTGGCACCTGTAACCTCCGACCTCCTGCTCACACGTGCCGCCATTCTGGCAGGGCGAGTCCACACAGTCACTCGTCACATCCACTGTGAAAAGAAATGAACGAATGATAAATGAAATGAGCAAAATAATTTTGACAATGATAATTAAAATGAAGGGCTAGCAGCAAAAAATGTAAAAGGCCTCTATCAATAAAGAAGTTTTGCAGAAGAGCAATACAGGATAGGCATGACTTTTAGGATACTGTTGCAACAAGATCTAGTATTTCACATGAAAGGCAACTAAGTATAGTAACTCATTATCATTAAATTGAACTGTCACACATAGGCACGGAACAGCAAATGTATTTTTCATTCATCTGTCCTTGGTGCTGAAATGCCTATCTAAGACATGTTCCAGGGTTCTGTACCTGTGCAGGTTCTGCCATCACCAGTGTAGCCACTTGGACAGGAACAGTTGAAGCCACCTGCAGTATTGGTGCACACTGCTGAGGGGGAGCAGTCATGACTGCCTGACTGGCACTCATCTACATCTGTCAGGTGAAGGCAAATGTAAAGGAATGAGTAAAACACTATCATTCTCAGTGTTACCTGTCTGTAGAAAAATATGCCATATAAAAGAACAGGGACCAATGCAATTCACAAGCTTTATGTTGGTTTATTGGGTAAAAACTATTCTGATAATTTTTCTTCAAAATATTGCACCATAGTGCAACATACCTGTGCATGTCTGGCCGTTACCCTGATACCCTGGCATGCAGGTACAGTTGAAGCCACCAGGGGTGTTGGTGCAATAAGCATCAGGATGGCAGCTGTGGGCTCCGGAAGCACACTCATCAATATCTGAGGTAGAGAAATGTGATAAATGTCATTTATTATAGCATGAAAGTTCATCTGTGTTGGTATACCTCATTATGATGAATCTAGACTTTATCTTCCAACACAGAAGAAAATTGGGACTTACCCAACTTTTTGGCTACCTGAGTCCATTTAGTGAACAAATTAGACTGGAGGAGTTAGCCAAAAATTTGGGTTTTTAAGTCCCAATTTTCTTATGTGTTGAAAGATAACGTTTACCAGCCATTTGTCATCATTTATTATAGCATTAAAAGAGTTAGAAATGTGTATTGTGTAAGAGCAAGAAAATGAAGCAATGCAATTCACAAGCTGTTAACAATCTTTATGTCGGTTGATTGGGGAAAAATTACACAGCAGAGCAGACGTAACTAAGCAAATACACATACCAACTTCCGGGCAGCAGAGACGGACTTCATAATCCAGGCACACGCCGTCTGTTTGGTCCGCCTTCCTGCAGATAAAGCCATTTACTGGATCGTTCCAAGCAAAGACCTCTCCTGTTGATGACGCGGCCTGACCTGTGCCGACAACGCGGGCTTGGATGCCCGTCGGTGAGTCACAGATCCGCCCTGGGTTCTCGTTTCGAAGCTCGGTCATCGTCTCCCAGTCACCGGTTGCCGTGGGGTTGTCACGGTCAAACCAGTCCGTCCAACTGATGCAGCTTTCTAATTTTTAAAGAAAGAGTCAGTTAAGTTTTTTAAACCCTGTTGTATTATATTAATTTGTCAAGGCGCAAACATGAAATACAAGTAAACCCTATTAGCGCACGCCCACAAGTGCCGGTGAGATTAATGACCTCTTCATCAACAAGTCTATTAAGGTATGGGTCTTTTATTTTTAAATAATACAAGGCCGACATTTGCTCGGGAGCAAATGCAGCAAATGGCTTCACCACAGAATTGGACAAAAAACAATGTCAATTTTATCTGTAATTGTGAAATCATTTTTCTTTAATAGTATGGGATGATTTCTTCTGACAATGTGACAGACAACAGTGTCGTACCTGTACAGCTCTGGCCATCTCCTTCAAAACCATCCTGGCAGGTACAGGTGTAACTTCCCTCTGTGTTCAAACAGTTGGCATTGGCATGGCAACTGTGTGATCCCTGCAGGCACTCGTTTACATCTGTAACAAAATGAAATGTTGTCAGCTGTGCAATATCATTATAGTTCAAAAAGTTAGTTCACTACCATGAGAAACTTGTCCTGTGCAATGATATTTTTGTAAAATTGTGGTACCAGTGACTATTATATCACAACTAATAAAAATATGATTCTTTAGGATGCCCTGCTTCTGAATGGTGATGAAATTTTATAGGAAGGTCAACTTTGTATTCAATATATTGAACCACAGTACAACATACCTGTGCATGTTTGGCCGTTACCCTGATACCCTGGCATGCAGGTACAGTTGAAGCCGCCAGGGGTGTTGGTGCAATAAGCATCAGGATGGCAGCTGTGGGCTCCGGAGGCACACTCATCAATATCTGAGGTAGAGAAATGTGATAAATGTCATTTATTATAGCATGAAAGTTCATCTGTGTTGGTATACCTCATTATGATGAATCTAGACTTTATCTTCCAACACAGAAGAAAATTGGGACTTACCCAACTTTTTAGGGTACCTGAGTCCATTTAGTGAACAAATTAGACTGGTGGAGTTAGCCAAAAATTTGGGTTTTAAAGTCCCAATTTTCTTATGTGTTGAAAGATAAAGTTTACCAGCCATTTGTCATCATTTATTATAGCATTAAAAGAGTTAGACAATTGTGTATTGTGTAAGAGCAAGAAAATGAAGCAATGCAATTCACAAGCTGTTAACAAGCTTTATGTTGGTTGATTGGGGAAAAACTACACAGCAGAGCAGACATAACTATACTAACTAAGCAAATACACATACCAACTTCCGGGCAGCAGAGACGGACTTCATAATCCAGGCACACGCCGTCTGTTTGGTCCGCCTTCCTGCAGACAAAGCCGTTTACTGGATCGTTCCAAGCGAAGACCTCTCCCGTCGATGACGCGTCCTGTCCTGTGCCGACGACGCGGGCTTGGATGCCTGTCGGCGAGTCACAGATTCGCCCTGGGTTCTCGTTTCGAAGCGAGGTCATCGTCTCCCAGTCACCGGTCGTCGAGGGGTTGTCACGGTCAAACCAGTCTGTCCAACTGATGCAGCTTTCTGATGTTTAAAGAAAGAGTCAGTTAAGTTTTAAACCGTTGGTGTATTATATTAATTTGTCCAGGAGTAAACATGAAATAAACCCTATTAGCGCACGCCCACAAGTGCCGGTGAGATTAATGACCTCTTCATCAACAAGTCTATTAAGGTATGGGTCTTTATTTTTAAATAGTACAAGGCCGACATTTGCTAGGGAGCAAATGCAGCAAATGGCTTCACCACAGAATTGGACAAAAAACAATGTCAATGTTATCTGTAATTGTGAAATCATTTTTCTTTAATAGTGTGGGATGATTTCTTCTGACAATGTGACAGACAACAAGGTCATACCTGTACAGCTCTGGCCGTCTCCTTCAAAACCATCCTGGCAGGTACAGGTATAACTTCCTTCAGTGTTCGAACAGTTGGCATTAGCATGGCAACTGTGTGATCCCTGCAGGCACTCATTTACATCTGTAATAAAATGAAATGTTGTCAGCTATGCAATAACATTATAGTGCAACAAGACAGTTCACAACTATGAGAATGAGCTATGAGCAATGATATTTTTGTAAAATTATGGTACCAGTAACCACTAACATCACAACTAATAAAAAATATGATTCTTTAGGATGCCCTACTTCTGAATGGCGATGAAATTTTATAGGAAGGTTATCTTTGTATGGAATGTATTGCACCACAGTACAACATACCTGTGCATGTCTGGCCGTTACCCTGATACCCTGGCATGCAGGTACAGTTGAAGCCGCCAGGGGTGTTGGTGCAATAAGCATCAGGATGACAGCTGTGGGCTCCGGAGGCACACTCATCAATATCTGAGGCAGAGAAGTATGAGTAAGTATGTAGTTTACGACAGTATTAAAAGAGTAAGAAAGCTGTATTGTGTAGTTTTTTCCTATTAAGGAGCAAGAAAATTAAATATTCACTGTTTGAAATTGTGTTACCTGTGCAGACATTTCCATTAGTAACAAATCCTGCCGAGCACGTGCAGGTGAAACTTCCAACTGTGTTTGTACATGTCATATCACCATGGCAACCATGGGTACCAGAGGAACATTCATCTATATCTGAGGAGAAGAATTGGAGAAACAAAACATCAGTTTTCTGTGGAATACAAAATCATAAAATCAGTTTTCTTAGTATGCAAGGATTTTTTTTTTCAGACAATGTGACAGACAACAGTGTTGTACCTGTACACCTCTGGCCGTCTCCTTCAAAACCATCCTGGCAGGTACAGGTGTAACTTCCTTCAGTGTTCGAACAGTTGGCATTGGCATGGCAACTGTGTGATCCCTGCAGGCACTCATTTACATCTGTAACAAAATGGAATATTGTCAGCTATGCAATAACGTTATAGTGCAAGAAGTTAGTTCACAAATATGTCTAACTTGTTCCTGTGCAATGATACACCGATAGCCACTACAGCGCAACTAACAAGAAACATGATTCTTTAGGATTCCCTGCTTCTGAATGGTGATGATATTTTACAGGATATTTGTCCCTCACAAATGGAAGACTTACCTCCATCACAGTCAGTGCCAGTCCAGCCTGCAGCACATGTACACAGATATCCACCACTGTTGTCATTAGCACAGGCACCGTTGTGACAGGGGCTGCTCTCACAGGCATCCACAACTGCAGGCAAAGGAGAAACAGTTTTATGAAATGAAGAGCTTTTATACTACATCTACTGGTGTATCCCTTCGCAGCTTTGATGTAACATGTGCAGTTCTCTGATTGAAAATATAGCAGCTTAATGAAAGAGTGATGGGTTATAAGAATATTGTAATATTAGAGTCTATATGAAACAAACTGAAACTGATCATACTACAATGTACATGTACTTGCATTGTTACTATTCTACTATTAGAAATACTTGTGCATGCCATACTCACATTCACAGTAAGACCCATTGCCCTGGTAGCCACTGTTGCAGTGACATCCTTGGATTCCATTCTGGATCCCACAGAAAGCGTTTTCATCGCACCTGACATCCGTGCACTGGATGTTGTTCTTACTGATGCACTCGCAGCGGCGGTTACAACCTTCTCCCCATGTTTCTCCAACCTTTGGGAAAAAATATCACAACTATTGAACAACACATTTAGAACAGCACTAGTATAGTAATTGACTTATGAACTTCCAAAGCAATGGCCTTTGTTTTAACAAATTGGAACTTAACTGACACAACAAAAGGACAGTGACTTTCATAAGATCTTTAATTACATGTATACATACAGACAGATATGTGGGTACAATAGATGAATCAACTTATGCTACTTGTTCTAACAAGAAGTTGTGTACTTACTGCATAGTAATGTCCATCACGGGTACAGCCACACTCTTGCCTGGTCACACAGTCCCCTCCACTCAGCACATACCCGTCATCACACTGGCATCCCTCCACACAGGTGCGGTTACAGTACTGAGGTGCAGACACGTCTGTACAGGTGGCAGGACAGGCGCTGGCACAGGAGCTGTAGTGACTGTTGCCGGGGCAGGAGAGTGCTGCAAAGGAAACCTCAGGTCAGACAATAACTGAGGATGCTGTACACTGAGACATTTCATAGCTTAAAGATTATGATTCAAGGAATTCAAAAATATTGTAACCCCAATCTTTGTTCATTTTGTTCTTCTGTAAAATGTAGTTAGCTGAGTTTTCTGTGAAGGTACAGAAAACATGGGTGCCTGAGAACATGGCTAGGTCTTACACTACAAAAGCCAAACGTACGACAGAAGGTTGCATTCCTCCATGTCCCGATGTTGATGCCAGCCTCAGCACAGGAGTCGGTGTAGGCCTGTAAGCTGTCACACAGGGACATGATGTCTCCATCCAGGGCACACATGTCATACGTGCAGGTCTCAACAGTACCCTGAGGGGAAAAGAGGTGTATCCAAGTTATAACATTACAAAGTTAAAACATCGTAACAGTAGCAATGATGACGAAAAAGAAAGCATCCTAAACATGATACACATACGCATGACAACAGATGGTATTCAGTACCAAGGACAGGTCTGATCATAGATGTGTGTGGACAGCGTTCAGCACCAAGGACAGGCTTGTTCATTTTTTCATACACTAGATTCGAAAACAGACTGTATGGGTTTATACCTCTGGATTGAGGGCTGAGTAGCAGGAGGCGAACACGCTGCTCGGGTCGTTCAGAATTCCGCACAGTTCCGATACAGTCCGCTGGAGGTCGTCGCTGCACTGCGCTGGGGGTTCTGGGTTCTCGTTACACCTATGAGAATTCAACATATGAAAGTTACCGTCACCAGTTAATGATATGCGCTAGTGAATATAGCCAAAATGTTATTCTCATGCGCGGACAGATTTCCGAAGTAAAACGCAAAAAAATAATAGAGCAGTCATTCCGGATTGCACAAAAATGCGTTATAAATGCGTAAGCATACTCAAACTAGAGTACAAAAAGGACTTACTGGTCGCCTTCCCTCTCAACCCGCCAACTGTTGCCGAACTGCACGACGTCAGCAGCCTGCGTGCCGTCAGGTGTCAGGAATTCGTCATTGACGTCGCCGTTGTAGTTCCCACACAGTCCGCAGAGGGCGCTGTGGTACAGGTCGGGCAGGACGACCTCGGCGCGATGCCTCCCGTCAAACGACACCTTCAGCCCGAAGCCTGTCTCTATGGTAACGTACTGACCGACGAACTTGACTGTTAGACCAGCCCGTGGTTCGGCAGGCAGAGTTGTGATCAGCTGGTCAATCTGGGAAGAGGAATCGTACGTTTGTCAGTAAATTAAAGTCGACATTCTGCCATCATGCATTACGTATAGATGTCAGTATGCGTTCCTGTTACTATTTGAACAATGAAATGAAGAAATTGTATGACGCTGTTGCGAGTCTAGCCCGGCGCCTGTCCCAGGAATGAATTAATTGGGAGTCAAAGAACAAAATACACTTTGTGTATCTGGTATACTTACATAGACAATCTTGTTCTTCTCCACCACAATTGTGTGGTTGTAGACCTCCACGGTGACGTCTGTGACGTAGCTGACGCGCGGGTTGCCGCGGTTTTCGTTCCTGGTCTCAACGTTGAAGTAAGGCAGCGTGTTGTTCTGACAGTTCCGTGTGAGCGTGTACGTGCACGCGCCCTGGAAGTGGTGCGTGCGCCCGTCGAAGGTGATGTAATGGGGGTCTCCAAAGGCAACACACGTGCTTCTGGCTGTATGTATCAAATACAATCGAACAAGAGAGGAAAGAGGAACAGTTACAACAAAAAATACTACATAGAACGTGTTCTAAGTCTAGTTTATCTCAGTTCAATTTGTTTGGTGATTGTGGTTTTCATGACACTTCCCGTGAACACAATATCCAGACTAACAACAGAAAGTCTAACCACTGTGAGAGTCGTCTATACAGAAGAGTTACTCACTCCAGCATGTCTTGCCATCTCCGGTGAATCCAGGTTTACACTCGCACTTGTACGAGCCGTGCGTGTTGACACAGACTGCGTCAGGGTCACAGTCGTCCAATCCGAGTTCACACTCATCCACGTCATGGTTGACGTCAGCCAAGTCTTCGTCAATGAGACCGTCGCCGTCATCATCTCTGGAGAGTAGAATGTTTATATCAATGCGGTGCATCTCGTCCTAATTTTCGACATTGCTGTGTTTAATACCGGATGTGTACACCCCTAAATGAGCATCAGCTGGTAAAAAGGTTATGTGGTTTGCAAAGGAAGGCATAATCGAAAAGGAAGAGCTTGTTCAGTGAGAGAACATGCTTGTAAATGTTGCCAGAAAAGAACGCATTATATATGAAAAAAAAATTGATGATAGAAAAAATTGTAACGTTATAGAGGTTTAGACCTTACGCTATCTGACATAATCTATAATGTTACAAACGTAAAAGTCACGACAAGTCTTACATTCCGTTCAGTAGTTCCTCGTCCACCAGTTGGTCACAGTCGTTGTCGACGCCGTCGCCAACCATGGGTTCTGTGACGTCACATCCGCCGGAGATGCTGGCCAATCGGAGACCTCCTGGAAAACCCACGGAGTCAGCGTAGGAGAAGCCGTAGTAGAACAGGGAGAAGGTGACAATGGCGGACTGGTGCTTGATCTTGTGTGTCCCCGTGGAGCCGATGTGAAGCTGTGTGGCGGACAGGTCGGTGTCTGGGATGGGTGACCAGGTGGTGGAGGAAGGAAGCGGGTTGCCGTCATACGTCAGCCCCGACGTTTGCGACGTCTTGATGACGATGTTGACGTAGCTGGTGTAGGCCGTGGACAGCGCGTCGACCGTGGCGAAGGTGTAGTCGGCGGCGAACTGCTCCACCGGCGGCAGGTACATCATGAAGGGATCCGTGGCGATGCCGTCCGAATCCTGCCCCTTGCTGTACTGCAGTACCATGATGGGCTGCGAGGAGGTGATGGTCTTGTAGGTGCTAGACGAAAGGTCCAGCTCCCAGAAGTCGCCTGCGTCTAGCGTACGAGGCGTTACGCCAGTGACGCTGACATCGGTGCCGTTTCTGGCAGCCACCAGTCGGAAGATGTCGCCTGCTTGTCGCACGGCGAGCGGGACCGTCACGAAGCGCTGTCCCCAGGTGTTGACGGGCGGGACGTGTTCGACCAGATGATCGCACGCGGCGAACTGGTTCGGCACCTTGTCGCACCGCACACCGGACATGACGGACACCGGTTTGTCCGACACGATGTGGGTACCCGTAAGATCTGACAGGTACCTGCCCTGGAACTGTACAGCCTCCAGACGGTCCAGCGTGAGCGTGATGACGCTCCCGGCATGGTAGTCCCTGCCGTCATGGTACACAGTCCCCTTCAGAGTGACGCTGACCGAGGTGCCGTCTTCAACACCGAAGATGCCGAATTCGGACGGATACTCCCGAAACGCGGGGGTGTAGGAAGCCACGAAATACTCCTTGCCGAGAACGTCGACAGGAAGACCCAGGAAGCCGTCTGTGGTGTGCCTCTCCTTGTTCACGCCGTACAGGATGATCTCGCGGTCTGCGGTGACGAGGACGCCCTTCTGAGCCCGCTCGTGCCCGGTGAGCATGACGGAGCGCGGCAGGGTGACCACCTGCACAGCTGCGTCAGTCACCACCAGCTGCTCCGTGTAGCTGGCACCTGGGGCAGTGATGGTGACGGTGGCGGGCTCTGAGCTCGCGCTGGTGATGAACAGCTCGAGTTGGCTGGCTCCGTGGTTCTGCAGGAAGCCGACCACAAACTCCGTTCCTCTGTTGTCCGGAGACGTCAGCACTGTCAAGAGACGTCGTCCACATTTTAGTAACGATATTTGGATGCGTAAAATGTCACACACACACACGCGCGCGCGCGCGCGCGCACGCACGCACGCACGGACACGAACCCACGCGCGTTATCCCATCTAGCGAAATGTGAAAAAAATTCCCCAACTTACAGAACATCAATTGATACACCACAACTGTTTATTTCAGACTAATACTGATTTTCAAGAAATAAAGTCCCTTAGCTTCAGTTACCTTCCTCACAGTTGGTGCCTTTCCACCCAGGAGCACACAGACAGGCGTACTCGCCTCTCCCGTTCAGACAAGTCCCGCCATTTCGGCACGGACTGCTGAGACACTCATTCACGTCAGGCGGGTCTGTCACTCCTGTAGTATAAAAGTTATCATTAAAAACCAGTTTGTAAGAATGGCCCGAGGAAAAGGGGTAGGACCAGGAAGCGAGTCGTGAAAACGGGGAAGGACCAGGAAGCGGGTCGTGGATGAAATGGAATGAATAGGATGTCAGAATAAACCCACTGGCATAAAAGGTGACCTATAGGCGGCGAAGCGTAACTGTTCGTACATTCAGGTGCACACGTTTGTTTTCTTTCTGCATTGATGTCAGTTGTCACTTTTCCATGCCGCAAGAACTAGACATTAGGAAATTCGATAAGTTGTCGGTAATGGACTGTTGCACAAGCTTTTAACAAATGTTTATTACGTTTCATACTACATGTACATGTATTACACGTTACGCACGTGTACACTTGGGTGTATACAGGGTCAGGATGCCAAAGGACAATCCACTTTACAATGCTGTATATTACATATTATGGCCTTTATAAATATTTGCCTATGGTACAGCTTACTTTAGATCAACAACTTTAGTCACGAGCGAATCAAACCAGTAGTATGACATTGTCCAACCAAGAGGAAAGCCACTTGAACAGTTTTCAATTTTAAAACAATCCGGCCGTTTCAAGCCGCTCCGTTTCTTCCTCTTGATCACATGAAGCATAAAAAAAAACATGTATGTCGGTTAACATGTAAATTTAGAATCCGTTCACGTGCCACATGTCAATCTACAATACCAAAGACATACATGTAGTTGTGTCAGTACTCACCCTGTGCCTGCACCACCGCCAGCACGTATACCACCAGCACTGATGTCACACCCATCAGCCACGGACGACACGCCATTTTGTATATATACACACTGGACATGAGAAAGGGTACGAAGTGAAGAATACTTTCTCTTATATAAACATGTGCTACAGGGTCAAAGGTCTATTGTAAAGGTTTATGATCGTAATAAACCAATAAATTATCAGTATGCACAGAAAGAAACTCGTGACCGTGTATCGTGACCGATACAGAGATCCCGCTGTATGATTTTCTACCACTATGACAGTTCCATACCAGCACGTCAAATAGGAAAACAAACTGAGTTTAAAATACAACTTACTTAAACCTTTATGGCATTTTCCATACTCGTCCGTTTCAAAGGGTACGTAGAATGCTAGCCTCCTAACTCCATTAAAAAACATTTTAAGTTGAATTTCGTAAAAAAAAAACGTTTTCGTCAAGACACGCTAGCATAAACGTGGTTATGTGGCGTGCGCACAAGAATGTTTTCCTCTTTCTTCCAACTAAACGTTACGTGAATTTTACAAATGTAAACTCCAAATCTCATCGAAACGGAGGGACAAGTACACTGAATAGTATGCATAACGAATTTTAAAACAAAAAAACGTAAGAAATTGAATAGGTAAAAAAAAACTCCAACAGCCAGAAGCACGGGACAAAAAATTTTTGATTTGATACAAACTTAGCGTTAAACATCGCCAGAGGAAACAATAAAGCAGTAAAGTTCTTACCTTGATAGATCTGGAACTTCAGACACGCTGTAAAACTGCAGTAGTAGAACTGCTTAACACTCTTGAGGTGCGCGGGTATTTATACCCTTCTTGGACAGCCAACACCTTTGTAAGCAAACGTACAGGTGGGAGGAGCTAAGGCGAAGTCGTTTCCTCGTATAGAACAATGGACACAATAGTGAAAGGAGGGGCCATATGCTAATATTAGAGTGATGACGACGAGGAAATAAAATACTGTATCGTGTTACATCATGCCAATACCATGCACGTTGTGTCCCAATTTTGGAAATTTACACATCGAAAGATTTTTTTCTATGGTTTTCTGACAAAACAAGTCACATGCATTTTAATCAAGCCTATGATCAATGGTACACCTATGCCAATATTGTTTACTCTTGCAAGAAGACTAAACTTAGTCCTTTTTTACAAACGGCGTTCGTTAGACAATGTGTTCTTGTAGTGTCCTGTTCTGAAATTTCGCGATGTTTCCTTTCAAGGCTAAACATTATCGAAATCACTTCATTTGTGCTACATAACAGCGTCCAATCGCCATGTACTTAACCACCTTCACCACCTGACACAGCCCGATCGCACACCTTTTTAAAACCTTTTTGTCTTGTGTCAATCGCTAGTGATGTTAGTATCGGGCCTTCGTGACGTTATTTTGTTTTATAGCCCTTAAATTTTTGCAGTGAAATACAAGGTTTACCCTCTCGATTCAAAGCAAGGGGCGCTTGTCGCTGAGGTGGCGGAATTTATGGAGGCGATGACCTTTTGATAACAGCCGTTTTATCAGCAGGTATAGGTGGGACCAATTACTCCTGTACCTTCCGTGGGACCACAGCTGATAAGTTACGTCTGTTTGTCGGCAGCCTTACACCTTTCAGTGTAATATCAGTGTGTGTTGTAGGAGATTACTAAACTAGACGTTGCTATGTTCATACTACACATTATGCATGTACCAAACACTAGCAAAAAAGCCAACACAACCATCCTCGCAAGCCCAGTACCCATTCATATGTTGCGTCTTTTACGTTATATTAGCTTTCTGGTAGGTCAACAACCGGTGAACGTCCTAACTGTAAGAAGTGTTGCCCACTGAATACGGCAGGTAGGTTTTAAAGTTAGATAAGTTGTACTATCGCCCCCGCCGATTCCCGTGCACAATGACGCGCTTATAATGGTAAAAGAAATACGTGGCTATTTATGGTAACCATGTGGTCTATATAACAGTGGATGCCAGTGTAAGTTGCACGTAGACAGTAGTGTAGCCGTGCAGAGTTGCACACGGTGCACATTTGTATCCATATAAACTTGGAGTGTTCACACTCGTGGTCACGAAGCGCACGTGTGGTCGTGACACACCTTACACGATTGTATCCCTAAAATCTTTTGTTCAGCAGAATGAAGTTGACGCAAGGACGTCATTGTGGTAATCTCAGCTAATGTAGCTTATTTGTCCGGAAACGCTTTATCTAACTCAACAGCATAATTCTATGGAAGACCGGAAACTGAGAACAACGCCCTGTCGAGGTCACCGTGCACGTGCGCGGGGGTATGCAAAGTTTAAGGTACAGGTTAAGAGGCGCATCCCAGTTCAAGTCTAGAGACCGTCTATGCGGGGAAAAAATCCGGAAGGAAACTAACAGAAGTAGCTACAAGACAACTGAGTTTGGCTCCTTCAACCTTGTTAATTTTGGTAAAATCAACAGAAAAACATTATTTTCACGCCAAAATTGCGAATTTTCGCGTTGGATAATCCCATAGAAAAATCTTTCCGGAAGAAATGGCTGGTGTTGTTAGAAGGACACAAACCTTGTGTATACTCGAGTCAATTATAAAGAAAATCCTAGTCTTTCTTTTAAATTATTCACGCCGCGGGGGAAAATCCCACTTAAAGGACGCCAAACGGCCGAATTACCTACTACGCGGATGAATACCCGGAAGTAAGGCTCAGCGCGGTCCAAGCTAGAATCAATTTTCATGATTTTCACTCAAAAATCAACATTTCGTACACTTGTCAGCCGTGTATAGTCATCTAATGTCATTTTATGGCAGATTATGAGAAACGTGACCTCAAACTTGGATCATCAAAACCCCTCGTCACCTTTTTTTTACCGCGCGCTACCGTCGTGGAAGAAACGGGGTGCCACGGCACGTACGCCATTTACGTCAATCATTTACGGCATGCCTCAGGTACGACGTTGTCTGAAAATCCTCGATTTTCTGACGATTGTAATGCCGTTGAAATACCTCAAGGAAACAGTTCTCAAGGATACCCCAAGGAAACAGTGGAAAAGGATAGCCACATTATTTCGAAGAAGCAATAGCCTTATTGGTTTTATGACCTACATAATAGGAGGAAGCAGGCTATGGAAAAGTTTGGCATTACGTCATACTTCCGGCCACCTGCTACCGTCTTTTTCCCAGAAAAACGTTGTCGTTGGAAAATTACGATTAGATCGGAAATCCCATATGGTTTCCGCCATAAACCATTTCCTTGTCCTTATTTCTAGGATTAAAAGCAGAAAGATAGTAATAATTTCTGAGTGGAGTTGATTTTTTAGTCTTTAAGTCTTAAACATTCAAACACAGGTAGAACAGGATCAGAGCAAGGTGCAATTTCCCAGCTACTCAAGCCCTTCTGGCGCTTAAAAACTACGGTCGGAACTTTGTTGGTTCGGATGTTCTGACACTTGTTTTCGTCAGTCAGCATTCAGGGTAAATGAGTCTAACTCAAGGCACAAACTTGTTACTCTGAAATATGTTGAATTATCGCTGTGACTGATAGAACGCGATCTAAATAATCAAAACAGTCAAAACGCAGGCCAAGATCACGACAATCTGGATCGTTTTGCTCCCAGGAGCGCCCCCTGTGACCTTGTCCTTGACGCACACGTCATAGTCGTCATGTCCGACAGCAGTGATGGAACAGACATGATCTACCCAGCAGTCAGTATCACACGTCTCGCCCGGGTCGTAGCTCAGCGTGTTGAACTGGTGATATCTGCGGAACTGCGACGCGTCCGGGCCGGTGAAGGAGGCGGCCAGGCGGTGTAGAGAGTCCGTTCCACCGTCGACAAGACCGAAGGTACCGGTGAGCGAGTAGGCCTCCTGCCACACGGGTCCGCCCCTCAGGTTAGCCTCTGTCAGGTTAGTGTAGTACTGAACCACGTCCTGGTGTTGGATACAGGAAAGGAAGCGTGTGAGAAGGACTTCTTTTCTTTACAATGATTGTCACGATATGATGCATGATTTCCCCTAGTCTATAGCTATCTCTTCTGCGCGCTTAAATGATTGGGAAAAGGCAATTGACCAAATAGGGAGAATATCCCATAGGATCTGGCTGCAGATACTTGACGGTAATCTCATTTGCAATCCATTTTTCTAAAGCCATTATTTATTGAATTTACCTTGATTTGGAGCGTCTGTCTGTCGTACTTGTACAGCCTGACCCCAGGATTGTTGGCGCCAAATCCACTGATGCCGGGCAGAGTGGTCTTCCACGGGGTCACCGCAGGACACAGGAACATCAAGCTGACAGCTGATCCTGGAGCATGGACAAAATAAAACCTATGAAAAAGTTCAGAAACTTAAGCAGCTACCAATTAAAGTAGCCTTGTAGGAGCTATAATAGGTTTGGTAAACAGGCTACCAATTTTATGTAAAAGTTCCTTTGCTAAAGTTGTCTGATTCATCACACAATCGACCGTGATTAAATCGCTACGTCTCACCTTCATCATCGTAGAAGAGACGAAAACTGTCCGTGTGGTGATGACCGAAAAACTGCCCGGCGATGACGGCCGAATGCTTCCGAATGAGTTCGTTGTAGCGCTCGTTAAAGTTCGGGTACATCCAGTACTGACTTCTCTTCAACTCGAAGAAGCCTGGTGGCAGGTGCCCGACAATAAACACCTACGCGAATGGAACATGGAACAATCGTCTGGACTGACTTTAAGTGCAAACTACCGATTTGAAAACTGCATCATGAGACCATTCATCCACTATTATCAAATTTCATTATCATCAAATAACAGTATCAATCCAACTAGAAAAGTAACATTTGCAAAGCAAATGCATGCTGTTTACCTTCACATGGTATTAATAAAAAACTACTTTATCATTACTCAAACACATTCACATATATATGGTGAGCAGGCCTCCAACTCTGTCCTGCTATTTACAACTTGAACGTAACCCAACACTGCTACAGTACTAGTTACCATGGTGACAGACGTCTGGTCCAGGTCATTGACTTTATTTGTTTAGAAAAGAAGAAACTGAGCAAAAACAATCATGTTTTCCTTCTGCGAAGGTAAACATAATGATAATATTACCTTTTCTGAGTTTGCTTGGGCGTCGCTGAGCACTCTGTCCAGCCAGGCGAAGTGACCGCCCGGATCTGGCATGTCTGCGGTCAGCAGGTTGTTCCTGTAGTGGAGGTTGGTGTTCACGCTGACAATGCGCAGGTGAGGAGCAGCGGACACCGCGTAGTAACCACCTGCAAATACAGGACATGTGCTCTTAGGCCGGCCGATACTTGCGTCTGAAGGTGGTATCGTGCGTTTGCAAACTAGCAATAGCCATTGTGACTATTGCAGCCGCCCTCCCTTCTCTCCAGATTGATATGCAGACTTGATTTTTTATCACATTTATTTAGTTGTGATAGGAAATTCAATTCGATTCACTAGGAGAATTTAAGGTTCTCTATCTTGTGAAAATGACATAGCGTCCCTCTACCTCATTAATTCACAGAAGGAGAATTTGGGGCTGTATCTACTGTTCGTAGTGAAATAATACGATTCGTTTGAGACGACCGTTATCACATTTGAAAGTAGTTATCACGGTTTTCGACTGAAATTGTTTTTTAAAATGACAAAGAGATAAATAGCTGAAGCGTGATATGCAGTAATAGGTACCTTGCTTGAAGACACTGTTGGCCGTGTCATCATCCATCCACTCCCGCCAGAACCCGGCCACGGCGTCGTAGATGTCGCTCCCGTTGGGCGGTAACTGGTTCTTAGGGTGGTAGTCATGGTTACCGAGGGCTGCGTACACCCTCTTGGCGGGAAACACCTCCTTCAGCAGTGACGTCAGATTGCCGATGATGTCGAGGACAATCTGCTGTCCCAGCTCTTCGTTAGGCACATGTGGGGTGTCATCCCTGGGGCAGACGTGAGGAGAAAGTACCCGAACATAAAGATATATCAACTTTTGGTGATTTTTAGCTCCCTGAAATTTGAATTTAAAGCTTCATGCAATGCTTTGATTCGTTGTTGTTGTTATCTCTAAGTGTCGTGTGGTAAAATACTGTATTGGGGAACCTCTATGGAACCCAACACACTTACCAAGAACAGTAAAGGGGTTACCCGGTGTGGTTCGCCAGATCATTTGGCACATCACAGACGTCTCTGCCGTCATTCGATGATCAATACCGAAATCTCAGCATCAGACCGTCCTTAAACACTTACCCCGTCCACAATATGAAGTCAGGGTTAGGTTGTATCTGCCTCATGGCGTACACCGAGGAGTTGATGAGTGCCCAGGGGGCGTCGCACAGGTAGTCTCCCCACACCCCCGGGGAGCCGGCCTGCCGTCCTGCAGCAGACGCGTGGCACATCGCCGTGGGGACCCCGGCAGTGGAGTAGCGCGGGTCATAGTGGAAATCTGTCACCTGCCAAAACCAGCCTGGAGGCACACACCCGAGGCGATGAGAAGCACATGAGGGAGGGTCATCAAAGTTTGGTAAAATGGCTGGCTCAAATTTGCGTGGATATTGGCCAAATAGACAGATGACATTCTCATACCCGAGGGCTAATTATGTACTTATGAATACATATTACATGAAATGACAAAGTGGTACCCTTGGATACAACGTGCACATATACATAATTTTACGCCCTCCCCCAGTCATCACACACACTTCCGATCCTAGTGGCTATATTTCTGCGACTCTGACACAGCCAATTGGACCACAGTCAGACTACGTATCAATTTGACTCCATCATATTAAATCTGTGTACTACCCACCGTCCTCTCCGGCTACACTTTTGGCCCACATAAACACCACAAACAGCATAAACATGGCCGGGTATGTTACCGTTACTCTACAACAGCTAGGTCATAGTGGTCTGACCCAAGCAATTCAAACATTATAGGGCCATTGTAAAAGGATCAAGGGACAAACCAGCTGCAGTGACTAAAATAGACGTAGCAGTCATACTACCCCATCTCTACTGCAAAGTGACAGTGAATACGACATGATAAACGCCCAGTATAAAATGTAAATTCATTCGCTCGCTCTCTCTCCATCTCTCACTTTCCCTCTCCTCTCTCACGCACACACGCACACACACACACACGCGCAAAAGATCAGACCCTGGAACAGACTCCTTGTGTATTTTACCGGCGCAGTAGAGGAATAGAGAGTTAGTAAACGAGTGAGAGTTTAGTACAATTACTGAGGAAGTTCTCTTTAGATAATCTCCTTGATACAATAGAGGGCAAACGGTGCATGGCGGCCAAAATGCTTCTGTCGTTTTCTGACAGATAAGGTACCCGGTTGACACACCTGAGGAAAACGGTCGGTCCCCATAAAGTAGGATTAATCATTAACCAAGCAGGTTGATTGTCGGCATAAGTTAATTTGTAGTAGCACGCCCGCGTCTTGCAATATTGAATATCAACACTTAAAGTTATGTAGCGGGAGTTGAGCCTGAAAGCCCCACACAAACAATTATCTTTTCAGATATTACTATAAATGATCAAACCTTATCCAAGCGTGCTATGACCTAATAATCTGCAGCGCCACTCCCAACTTCGCGAGAAGATTATACAATGCCATCGTCAAATACGAACGAAAATCAAAACGCGTAGAAGAAGAGGCGTGAATGCAGAAGAAATGTGTTAAAAAAACAACACTGGATGCGTATGGAGTATAATTAGAAGATTTCAAATATTTGCGTTTCCAAATGGCCGCAACGCCGGTACCAGCACATGTCGCATGGTGACGCTGCTGCACTGTCGCCTTTCACTGTGATAAAGAGCACGCATTTCATTATCACTGTAGGGCGACAACACTTGTAATAAATACCACTAGATGTTGGAGTTCGATGTTTTCTGTTTGCCCATTTTCTGACGATGTTACCTACTTAGTAAGCTGGTCAAAACCGGGGCTGTTAGAATAGCAACACTTTTAATGAAATTAACTATTAAAATACAATCCTCTCCCAAATAGTATCTCTTTTTTGCCAGGTTTGCTGTCATTCCGTAATCTCCAAGCAGATGCTGGTATGCAAAATCGTTACTTTTTTCTTGCTGCCCGTTTGTAATAGGAAACAGGTAGCTAAGCTAAGAAAACGTAACGATTTTGCCCTTTTTTGCCACCCAACGTCTGCTTGGAGATTAGTAGTAGTAGTCATTTCGCTATACAGCACTGTAGTTCTGCAGTGCAGTGAACTCAAGCTAGCCTGTATCTCGGCTCGCTACACTAGCCTGGCGTAATTGTCATCACGGCCCTGAACAAGCTGAATGATCCTAAATATGGATGAGTGCCATGCCACTCAACCACACCAGTAACATTAGTGGGTTATTTCTGATTTTTGAGTACTTCGAGTTGTACGGATGCAAGTCATCTTAACAAAGGTGATTTGCGTCATTGGCAGACATGCAAAATACTTGTGTTGATTATAATTAGTCGTGTGCAACACATGTGAACACAGCTGTTTTTAACAACCTTGCCACATATTAAATGAGCCAGATGGACAAAGAGAGAGAAAGAGAAGGAGAGGAGGGGAAAAAAAAGAAAGGTCCCAACTTGAGAGGAAAGACGAGTAATGGAAATTACTGATAATTCAAATCGGAGATAAAAGCAGTGAAACACCACGGTAAGAGTTTAAGATCTGCATGGAAAGCTATCGTTGTTTTACCCGTTCAAAATATGCAGGCCGATATTGGAACTATGAAATTGTTCTACGTTGTTGAGGTCTGAAGAAATTATCCTCGTGAGATTTTGTTGAGAAAAACAACGTTCTTGGAACACATATTTCTTTGTATTTACATGCTAAGAAGATAGAAACAGTTGGGTAATAGCAATTCGTAGCAATTCGTGTTTCATGAATAAGAAGAAGCGCCGCCGTATATTTTTTGTTATGATGCATATATCTTTGAAACATGCCCGACCGGTTATATCAGAGCGATAGCTATTTAGCTGAGCGGAAATTTGTCACAACGGGATTTTTACTGCATCAATGAAATATCCATTTATTTCCTCGCATATGAACCAAAGACGTCCTGATTAGAAAGGCAGGAGAACGGAGATTAGATTAGAATCACGGCGTATTTCTTATTCCTCCCGCGAGCGATCGCGGCAGAACTCCCTCGGCCGCGTGACGGGAGATTATTCATGCCCTGCCGGCCTTATTACCAGTCCATTTCCTGAGCGCGTGGCGTGCGATTACATCTAAACCACCACTTATTCATCGTGATTCATCTTCGCTGCCCGTAATACAGCAGAACATTACGGTTCCCACGCGCCTCGGGATGTTTTTCCGCCGTGTTAATGAGCTCGGCATGTGCAGGTGCAGCCCGGCGGCAGCGGGGACGTACAGGTCACACTTGTGGCTAAAGCAATCACAATTTCATAGCGGAGGCCGGCGAGGGGAAATGCAAAAACACGAAGACGACTTTGCACTTGGGTACAGCCAGGCTGAAGGCACTGTGTCCTGACCTGAGTCCTCAAAGTTCCTGAGAAAGAATGCTCTGAACGTCGATCAGGCCCGGTATGGTGGTGTGATTGCAATTCAGCACCATGGACATGCACTTCTCACAGCTAGCTTCATTGGCTACAGCCCAAAACTGCCTCAGTGTTCTGTCCGTTATAGAAGCTACCTCCTACCCGACATATTGTCACCTTCTCTTCAGACATTACTGGTGTAACCGAGTTTGTATCTCTGGCCATATCAAACGTCAATAATTCCTTCTGAGAATATGCCAGGCTTTCTAATTCTAATTTCGCGAATATTTGTCTATGTTTATGACAGAAGAAAACAGGATTTCAGGATAGTTGGATACACTACCTGTCTACCAATTATATAAACTTCCTTTCAAGATAAACCAATATGATGTTAACTTGTTGCCATTTTCGTCTTATTTTGTTGTTTTGCCATTTTCGTCTTATTTTGTTATTGCGGATTCTATATTAGCTTTTAATAAGTTTTAATCATACCGAAACTTGGATTCGATATTAGCTTTTTAATCATACCTAAAATTCGACAAAATACGAGTCCGTGAAAGTTGGTCACATCGCATAGCGGTAGTTCGGAGCCAATCATACGTCTTCATTCGATATGCGCAGATATATGACTTGGTCTGAAAGCGCCAAGTATTTTATGATGGGACCAATTTGCCAGCGAAAATGTTGTAATTTTCCGGATCATTTCACAGACAAATATGGGGCTATTGTTACACACACCTGGCGAGGGTACATCGCGTGCAATTTTGATAAGGTGGTTTCCACAATTATGTTTCCATTTGCCCGCTCTTATTCACTTGATTGGAGCTACTTAGGCTTGTTTGGGGGGAAATCAATATGGAAATTTGGTAGCATTTTGCGATCATCAGTCACGATTTCGTTGAAAGGGGCCAAATTACAGTTTGTAAAAAAAACTCACTTTTGAAAATAAGCGTAGGTGTTGTCACAGGTGCAGGTTCTACCATCATTTGCTACTCATTTGCGTGGATTCCCGAGAATGACACCGCCCTAGCTCTGTACAACACGGATCTTCCTATCACCCAGCGGATAATGGGGAGGCTAAAGCATCACGTTTACCTTGCTGCTTTTTTCTGTGACAAACTGCCTCTCCCAACATCTCCTTGGAGATTAGGATCCTCCGTCTGGCCATGAAGACATGTCAACAAGTTGATATAGTCCAGACAGAAATAACATACACATTTCCGGTTTTCTACTTTTATGTCTTGGCCCCATCAAAAAGGTTGTCGTGAATCTCCCTTGTCCATCACTGGCCGTTAATTACAGCCCTCTTGTTTTGATCCAGCCTTTAGATATAAAAGGCGATGGGAGATTTGTTGCCACACCTGCGGTATTGGATTATTTGATAAAAGCGCACGAACGTACAATTCAGTCGTGTCCGTGTGGATCGTTAAATCTGTATTTCATTTTTTTATTCAAAGAACGCTCCCAGTCTTCTTACCCAGAAACATATATCTCTGATATCTACAATAAAAACTTGCTCATCACAACCTTAGATCTTGACGAACTTAACAAGGGCACAGCTTCACTTGCCGTGATGAAACTTCACATTGGGAATTCAGATTGGGTAAAATACCCCACTGCAATCTGTATCGAATGGGACAACATAATTTTTTCTAGAGCAGCTTCTAGGCAGAAATTATAACAATACGAACACCTGCACATCACAAATAAGCTTCAGAAGCCGATCCCACAATGTTGGCAGACGTCATGACTTATCCGTAGTTAATGAGGCCTTGTAAGTGGGCGCTTAGCGGGACCTGAAATTTTCTCTTCATTTGTCATCGATCATCTATTGTGCTGCTCTGGTTCAACACGTGCAACTCGTGCACCTGTGCGTGTGTGTGGAGTCACGTGATCCATCTGCTACGAGACAAAAAAGGAGAGAGTGTTACAACGTCGGTTGCAAAGTTTTCGCTCAAATTTAATAGTGAACATCAGGTAGGTGGTAGCGACTGCGGGAGCGGACGTAAACTAACCAGGATGGTACCCAGTATCTAGTCTCCAAGACATTCTAGAAAACCCAGTTACAGGTACTCAGGAGGGGGCGTTTGGATTACTTCCTGTTTTTCAGCGCTCTGACGTTATACGTTATTAGTCCTGAGAAGTCTTGACGCACGTTTGAACGTGTGGGTTGAGAGCTGACGTGGGTCTACCTCAAAAGACACTCTTATCTACACGTAATTATGGATCCTCTATTGAGGTGCATCATTTACACAACTGCATCTAATCGCGTGCTAAAGACGATGGCTAATGAGCTCGTGATGTATCCATTGATCACTACAAACAAAAAAAATTCTTTACTAGCCTCACAAGCAGCCTTCAGCGCTGTGTTTCATGGCTTATAATCTGCTGTTTTCTAATTGAATATCAGTTTTCCAATCTTTCAAATGAATGCATACTTTAGCTGGACGGCTGCCAGAAACCAGGTGCAATCAGAAAACACAATACAACAA